CGTCGTCGAAAAGGGTCAGTCAGGTAATCAGCAGCCATAGGCACGGTGCTTGGTAAGAGTTTTTATACTCTGACCGCTTTTCAGCCGGGTTTTGTATACAGTGGTATGCATGAATTCACGTTCGCGAACCCTGCCAACGCAAGATTTGCGAACCGATCTGCGCATCTCAATAAATCCCTCCAACCTATCGACCGGGCTATACATGCCGCTTTCAACGACCGCGACCAGTCATTTCCGCATGTTGAAAAGACGCATCTTCCTGCGATCGATACTCTGCCGTTCATGTGGAACTGTCCTACGGACAGCACGCACCGCGCGTCTCGGTTTATTTTTTCCACTCTTATCCATTCTTGTCTCCAAGGTTAGATGTCTCTTTGGGGATAATGTATCAGACAGATCGGGGTCGGGGGTTGTGTCGCATGTGTCGCGGTCTGAATGAATGAAATGAGCGAAGTGGAGTGAAGTTGAGTGGGTATGCATGCAGAGACGAGGGAAGTAGTGGTTCACATCCACCTCACTTGATCTCCATACCTCAGATGGCAGGGTGGCTCCGGGACGAGGGCGGATGCATGTATATAAGAAAGCATCATGTACAGACGCCTTGCCGGGATCGAAAGATATGTATGGACTCGTGGGTGTGTACCTTTACATCAAGAGATGCCGCTGACGTGGGAAAAGGACATCAGAGGACGGACGCCTCGAAGAGTGAAGCGGAATCATAGACCATGAAACAGTGAAATGGATGTGCGGACGTGCGGATGAATGGATGGAAGAGAAGAGAGGAGTGGACGAGCAGAGCCTATCTAGCTAGGTAGCTAGGTAGCTGGCCAGCTGGCCATTTTACATATATACCTATCTATGTAGGTACATGACACTGCCAATGTCATCCAAAAGTACACAATAGCTAGCTGGACATTATACCTCGTCACTCACACGTCACATTTTTATGTACGGTACATACATACACTCTCGCAGTACTCGGGGTACTATTCTTCACGTGAAAGGAGTGTTCGAGGAGTATTCGTTCCACGTTGCTGTGGAAGGGGGGCCTTGATTTTACCTCGCACTCCTCAAGAACTCAACCACCCCCCTCGTGTAACCGACCAGCTCGCTCAGGCGTGTTTCCTCTTCGACCATCGCTTGTCTCCACTCGACGACTTTCTCCCTGATGTCGTCGACCTCGCTGACGAAGTCGCCGTGGACGCGTAGAAAGACGCTCATCCAGGTGTTGACCAGTTCAAAGGACTTTCTCTGGCGGAGCTGGTGGGTGAGGAAGTCAATGAAAAGAGGCATCTCGGGGATGGTCAGGGAGCGGATTTCCAGGTCGGCAGCCGAGGGTGGTAGAGAAGACAGGTGAGCAGTCAGGGTAGATGGGTCGTGGAGAGGCGATGAAGAAAAGGTTTCGAGGAGCGAGGAGAGTTGTGGCGACTCTTGGGACAGTGCCTGGTTCGTGGGCGCGAGGCGCGAGATGCGTGAGCGCTCGGAATCGTCGATGGCTTTGGCCGGGGTGGCCATGGACATCTCGTTTTCTGGCTTGGTGCCGTTGGTGAGGCTGGTAGATCCCAAGAAAAAGGGTGCCGCTTTGGGCTTCTCTGGCGGCTGGATAGGTTTATTTCTCGCACGGATGCTGTCGAGATTTAGTAGTGTTTGCCATCGTGATTGGGGTTGGAGCGACAGTGTTAGCAGCTGCTTGTCCAACTGATCTACCGCCGAAGAGTCGTCGAATCCGTCAACGACAGCTTCGTCCTCCGACACGTCATCTTCGATGGCAAGTTGAGTGGCAGCATTGAACGCGGCGGTCGTCTGGCTCAAGTCAATAACCCCACGAACATCGTCAATCTGCTTGGTGGATATGTGATTGAAGAGTGTCTTGTTTGTCCAGATGAATACCCCCGAACAGCCGGCATGAGTAGTGGCCAGAAACTCTCCGGTGGTCGAGAATGCCACGTTGGTACATGTTGCATCCGTCTTGAACGCGTCGATCAAGTGACCTGTAGCGATATCAAAGACGCGAATAACCGAGTCCATCGAACAAGCTGTAATCCACCGCCCGTCGTGTGAGAAGCAATAGTCGTATATTTGACCAATACAACCCCATAACTCGCGTACCACTCTGTATGTTTCAATGTCGATTATGCGGATACACAAGTCGTCGCAGGATAGGGCCAGAAGGCCTGAGACAGGGTTGTATCGAATTGCAGTGGCCACTGCAGAGTCGAGGGTCCTTCGTTCCATGATTCTGCCGGATGAAAAATCCCAAAAAATGATTGTCCCGTCCAGGCTGGTGGTGACCATGGTCTGATTTAGATTGTCAACCACAATGCCCGAGATCGCGTCCCGATGACCACGAGGCGTAAGAACCTGAGTTGAGCTGGCTTGTTGTAATTTCAACTGCTTCAGCTGAGCAGGTGTGAGTCGAGGCGGGTATCGTTGACGATGGGCGCCAGATTGCAAGTTGAACATATCGAGACTGCCCCCTGCTGACCCAACAATTGCGAATGTCCCACAAGCAGTGATGGCCACGCTGCTTACGGGCTTGTGGTCTCCCGTTTCCAGTGCCCATCTCCCTGCTTTCTTTCTTCCCCACGACCATGTTCTCGCGAATTTGTCATCAGCATGGGCCGTGATGACACTTTCCCAGCCAGTTGTACTGATTTCTTCTGCATTGACGTTCTTTGTATTGGCCCAAATGGGGCCGCTGACTGTGCCCATTCCACCATCTCGATTCAGTGAACAGGCGATATCAATGATCGGTGGCGCTTTGAAATCCTCCACGGCTGAGGCGTCGTCGGCGAGGAGACCTGACTTGCGGGCCTTATGCTTGACAGCGCCTTGACTGAGTTCTGTGCTTTGACCATCTTTGCGCAGACTGAACCCCCACAGACTTCGGTCTTGAGCCGCGGACATGAGCCATTTGCCAGCGGCGTCTGAACCGTCTGAAGCTGCTGGAAGGAACATGAGCCTCGTGATAGACGCGGAATGTCCGCTCCTGGAATGGAGGAGACGTGGTACGGGCGAAAAGGGGTTCTGATCAAATACCCACGTTCTGAGAGCGTTGTCCAACCCAGAAGAGACCAAGACTGGTTGTCCAGCGAGGAATTCGACCTTGTTCACACCAGTGCCTTGTCCCAAACTGGAAGTTTCATGGGCGCCTCGCACCACACCAACAACCTTTCCACCACGATTGAGATCCCATAGAGTGATATCGCCGCTTTGAATGCTAGATGTGGCCATGATACCCTCCTTCCGGCCGTCGTCGCCTGCACCCATCCCGTCCGTCCGAAATGTGATTGAGGTAATGGGCTTCTTGTTGTTTGCCTGGCGCAGCTCCAATACTTGTTCATCGGCCTCAACATCCGTGATATGGAGAGAGCCATCGGCATATGCAACTGCTAGCAAGCAAACTGCAGGGGCTGGGGCGAGTGCTGTAACACCACCGGAGCGAGAGGAGGGAGCGAGGATGGTGTGGACCAGCCTTCCTGTACTGACATTGTAGACCTCCACCGAGCCATGCTTTGTGCCTACAAGCACTTTATTCAACAGGGTTGGCAGAGTGCAGGCCGGACCTGTAAATGAACCACTCGACCGATTGTTGATTGAGGTTGAAGAGGAAAGGATAGAAGTATAGTGTTCCAATGAATCGCTACTCCAGACCTCGAGGCTCTCTGTGCCACAGCCAACAATCCATGATCCAAAGACGAGCAATTGCCGAATCTCTTGTGCGTGGGTGTCGTCAACATCCAATTCTCCTATCAGCTGCCCTCTCTTGAAAACCCAGACTCCTCGGGACTCGTTGGGCTGTGATCCACCCCAGGCGACAAAGACTCGGTCTCGGTAGGCATGGGTGGCAGTTATCGTGCCAGGACATTTCGGGCGAGTAAGGAATACGAGATTAAGGCCCCGTCGCAAGTCATATGTGTGTAACGTCTCGCCGACCGAGGTGGTGATCTGGAAGGTTGTCTTCCCTAACGGAACAGAGGTGAAGGGAACCGAGGTTGGTGATACCAGTCCCAGAGTCTATGAAAAGAATGAGCAAGGCGGATCAAGCCGCGAGGGTCAGGTGGAAGGTAGAAGAAACAACATACTCTGAAGGGTGCAAACAGTCTGGAGCTGGTAGGAGGAGGCTTTTCTTTGGTAGTGGTCAGCTCCCTCCGCTGCCTTTTGGCGAGGGGCAGCTCAATTGCTTCGTCCATGGGTAGAATTAGAGTACCCTTGACCTGCCTCGCCTGCAAGTATTTGTCGTGTAAGTCGCGGACTATGACATGGAGACTATATGGTACTCCGTACCTGGGTAAGTAAGTGAATGTTGACCAAATCTCTAAATTTTTTCCGCCAGACACTCACCGCCCGGCAGAAACCTCCACTGACGTGGACCTGTGGGGAGTTAACTAAAGTACTCGGTACACGCCTGCGTCCACTCCTGGTTAGGTCCTCTGGTTGAGCGACTGCCCACTTCTAGGCGGCGCAGCACTACTAATGCCCCTCACTTAGGTGCGCCTATTTGGTTAGCCCTGCTTGTTCTAGGCTCTGGCACCACTAAAGGCGACACACTGGTTAAGCACTGGCTGACGAACCCCCACTTACTCATCCTCTCGCACACAAATTTTCGCCTCATTGCGACTTCCATCCAACCATCTTCGTCAACATGGGCGCTGACACTTGCCTGCATTCTACGGAGCACAGACAAAGAACAGCTCGAAGATCTGATCTTCCCAATGAGAGTCGAGATCGATTTCTTGTCTATTTGTCCATTTGTCCAAGACATGTATTAATCCACAATCCTTTCTCTATCGTGGCGCTTCGCCAATTCCAACATATATTCTTCAATATCGTCATTCTTTGAAACTCCACTCTTTTCGAGAAAAAGCTGGTCTCTTATCAAAAGTCTCAACCTTTTCTTCCCCACAGCTTCAGCTCGGATAAGTCGGGGCATTTTCCCTACTCCATCTAAAGGAAGAAGTTCTCGGCTATTTTACTGTCCTCCTACATCATCGATCCTCATGGAGATTTATTCTCCCCTCCGTCGAACTCCTACCAGCACCTCTGAAAACGACACTGACGATAACGCTGTTCTCACTGCTGTTCAGTCAACCAGCTCCTCTACTACATCTGCCCCTCGCCCTACCCAAAGATTAACTGGCCGCACCCCTTCAACCCATTCCTTATTGGCCGCGCACAGGAATCCCGATGTCCGCAAGGGTGCCCCTGCTGAGACTACAAAGGCCTCCGCTGGCCGCTCGAGCATAAGTATGCCGCCTCCGAACACCAAGCCTAGCGCGGATAGACGTCTATCGGCCTCTGTTTCTTCAATTCGCTCAGTGAGGAAGTCTGAGGAATGTGCTAGGAGCCCGCCGTCTTCTGTCAAATCTGTTAGAAGCATTGAAGGAGACAGGACACCCTACGGCAGCTCTCCAACGGCTCAGAACTCTACAACAGCCCATGATCCCACGATCGTTACAACCACATCTACTTCCATTGCCCCCGGTCTGCCTGTGCTATCCCCTCCAGCCTTCAATCCAAGCGTTCCTAATCCTTCAGATCTAGTCTCAAATACGTCATCTCAGATCGCTTCCCCAACGACATATGCTGCCAAAAGCGACATGGCTTTACCTGCTGCGACTATTGGCCAATCTTCAGGAACCACTGGAATTGCCGGGAAGTCTGATGGTGCAGATACCGCATTCCCTGCTCGTCCGCCTCGGATACCCCATCCCCGTTCAGCTTCCGGTCGACGCTTGAGTACTGCGGGATCTTCCAGGAATGAGAGCATTAATTCCGAGAATAAAACGCCAGTAGGCAGAATCGGGGTTTGCGCTCTTGATGTCAAGGCCAGAAGTCGACCCAGTCGTCAAATCTTGACACGCCTTCAAGGAGAAGGGGAATTTGAAGTTATCGTCTTTGGTGATAAAGCAATTCTCGACGAGGGTAAGTCTTGCTACTTCTTTTCACCCTCTAGACGAGAGGCTGACTTTGGTAGATGTTGAGAACTGGCCCATATGGTGAGTAGAGCAAATCATTGCCTGGCTCCCCTATCTGAATGTCGTTCTTCTAATGCAGTATAGCGACTATCTTATATCTTTTTTCTCCGACGGCTTTCCTCTCGACAAGGCAATCGCATATGTCAAGCTACGGAAACCATTTGTCGTCAATGATCTGGCCATGCAAAAGGTCCTTTGGGACAGACGTTTGTGTCTTAAAATCCTGGACCAAATGCAGATTCCTACCCCAAAGAGGATAGAAGTCAACCGTGATGGTGGACCAAGGCTAGAGTCGCCGGAGCTTGCCCAGCACGTGAAAGCCATGTCGGGTGTGGTTCTAGAGGGTGCAGAGGATGGCACAGGAGGCGGCACTCCAATTACAAAATCCGTTGAACTGACGGAAGACGGAGACACTTTGGTTGTTGATGGGAAACCATTCAAAAAACCCTTTGTCGAGAAGCCTGTCAATGGAGAAGACCATAATGTTATCATCTATTTTCCCAAGAGCCAAGGTGGCGGCGCCCGACGACTTTTTCGCAAGATCGGCAACAAATCTTCAGAGTATGACCCTGAATTGACCGTTCCAAGGTGCATCACGGAACCGAACAGCAGTTATATCTATGAGCAATTCTTGAAGACGGAAAATGCCGAAGACGTCAAAGCCTACACTGTAGGTCCCCATTATTGCCATGCCGAAACGAGGAAATCGCCAGTCGTGGATGGTTTGGTCCGACGTAATACACATGGCAAGGAGCTGAGATACGTCACGAAACTTAGCGATGCAGAGAAAGAGATGGCGGCCAAAGTGTCACGGGCTTTTGGGCAGCGCATCTGCGGTTTTGACCTCTTGCGAACCGGGTCGGCGAGCTATATCATCGACGTCAATGGGTGGAGTTTTGTCAAAGATAACGAGGACTATTACAACGACTGCGCAAAGATCCTGAGAAATATCTTCTTGGCTGAGAAGTGGAAACGCGAGAATGCCCTTGGGGAAGAAGTGCAGGTCGAGAATGGAGGCGACGGTTCTCAGAGCCGCGTAGGCACAAGCCATTCAGCTCGATCGGCACTCAAGACGATCTTGAAGTCCCCCAGCATGACGAAGCTGTCTCAACATCTGCCGCATTCGTCGAGACACCATCATCCGGTACATGCTGGTTCACCCAAGACTTCTTCCTTAACCACGCCAATGAGTTCGCCACCAAGCATTGAGAAGATCACTCAGACTCTAGTTGCACCAACCGCGGGTGAAAAGGACAGCACTTCTCCATCACCTCTTCTTACAGCCCCAGATACTGCTGAGAGTGCTCCAGGTACCACGGCTGCTACCAAGGAAGAGGGGCCTGCAGCTCCTATGCCAAGTTCCAAGCATTCATGGAAGCTCAAGGGCGTGGTCTCGGTCATCAGGCATGCTGACCGGACTCCAAAGCAAAAACTAAAATTCACAGCTCACTCCCAGGTGTTCGCCGATCTGCTCAAGGGCCATCATGAGGAGGTGCTTCTGAAGGGTGAAGCTGCGCTGGCAAGCGTGCAGACGGCAATCAAGGTTGCGCTGAGAGACAAGCTTGAAGACCCAGATAAATTACGCAACTTGCAAAATGCATTATCCAAGAAAATACATCAACCGGGCACCAAGGTACAGATCAAACCAATGTTCCGCAAAAGGAAGCCAGAAGAGATGCACCCATCGTCGGATGCCGACACTCTTACCACTATAGAAGCTGACCACCAACTGCTCGAGGCAGTCAGCAATGAGGAGAGAAAAGGATCAGTGTCTAGCACAAAAGACTTGAGGCGAATGCAGACCAGGAGTGATTCAATGTCTGGTGCCACATTTTCACGTTTCTCAGCTGCGGAGAATGATCTTGTTCTGGACAAGCTGCAACTGGTCATGAAATGGGGAGGGGAACCTACGCATTCGGCTAGATACCAGGCGCAGGATCTCGGCACCAATATGAGGGACGACTTCAAATTACTAAACAAGGAAGTGGTCGATGATGTCCGAATCTTTACGAGCTCAGAGAAGCGTGTCAAGACGAGTGCTCAAATATGGGCCGCGGCATTCCTCGACCGCCAGGATCTGCCCGAAGATTTCATTCAAGTCAGGAAAGACCTCCTGGACGATTCCAATGCTGCCAAGGATGTGATGGACAAGGTCAAGAAGAAGCTTAAGCACCTCCTTCGCGAAGGAACTGTCCCGGACTCGTTTGCGTGGCCAAAAGATGTCGCAGAGCCATACGTTGTCATGCAAAATGTGGTTGACCTGCTCAAGTTCCATCGACAGGTGATGCGGCACAATTTTAAAAAGCTTTCAACCGGCGCTGTGGCTTCACTCAATGCAATAAGTGGCTCTGGAGACGGCAAAGAGGGCAACGGGCACAACAAAGAGACAATCAGCGTCGCCTCGATTCAGTCTCGATGGTGCACTGGCGAAGATGCAGAACTGTTTCGAGAAAGATGGGAAAAGCTGTTCTCGGAATTCTGCGACACCGAAAAGGCAGATCCGAGCAAGATCTCTGAGTTGTATGACACGATGAAGTACGATGCCTTGCATAACAAACAATTTCTCGAGTGGGCATTCACTCCCAGTCAATCGCTCCTGGACGAAATGGCGAAAGACGAAAGTCTGTCGTCGAGGGCGTCCTTGGAAATCGACAGAGCAGAGGAAATTTCGCAAGCCACGAATGGCTCACGTCATGAGAACGATGTTTCGTCTAATGTGGGGACGCCTGAGGGCAGACAGAGTCTTGCTCAAAAGATTGGATTTAGAAGACAATCAGTCCTTAAACAACCACTCCCGGCGGCTCCTCTGATGTCGTGGGAACAGGGCGCTTCCTATTTCAAGTTATTCAGCGGATCTGGCGATGGTCGGCTGAAGCAAGATCAAAAGCTCGGTCGACTAAGAGAGCTATACCGATACAGCAAGATTTTGTTCGATTACATTGGCCCGCAGGAATACGGTATCAGTGATGAGGAGAAACTCGAGATTGGTCTTTTGACATCATTACCCTTACTTCGTGAGATCGTCGACGATCTAGAAGAACTACAGGCCGCCGGTGACGCGAAGTCATTCATCTACTTCACCAAGGAATCACACATATACACTCTACTCAACTGCATCATGGAAGGCGGCATCCACACCAAGATCAAACGCTCCACCATCCCAGAACTTGATTACCTCTCCCAAATCTGTTTTGAACTATACGAAGCTAAAGACGCCGAGACAGCCGAATCTACCTACTCGATACGCATCACCATCTCCCCTGGCTGCCACACGATCGACCCTCTGGATGTCTCCCTGGACTCCAAGCACGCGATTGGAAGCGCTCCGCGGCGATCGCTGACAAACCATCAGGACTGGAAAGAGGTGATTTCTACCTTGAAAGCGAAGTTCAACACAGTGCAGCTGCCCAAGAGCTTTCTGGCGGTGAATGTGAGTGAGAAGCATGAAGAGGAGGCACAACGAAGGGCCAGCTTGTTGCAGAGCGAAGCAGCGAAGGAGAAGCATGGACGTAAAGAAGGAGAGGACAGCGAGGCTGGAGATGTATTTGAGAATGCGAATGTACAAGACAAAGAATTCTCACTGGAATCGACGCCGGGTAGTCGGCAGTTCGTTCCTGTACAATTCCTGTCTGCAGAGGATAGGACTGACGCAAATGTACCTGCTGAAGAAGGAAGAGGCGCTTGAGTGGCCTGCGGTCTTGGATATTGCAGCCTACAGAACAGTCAACTCCAACGGCAACGACAACGACCAAGGAGACCGGAAAACTGTCCACTTCCGCCATGGCCAGGGTCATGGACAGAGAAACAGAAGATGGGCAGGGACAGTCGATCGCGGTATCATCCTGGTGGGCTTGTGTCACAACCCCGAGATTCAGAATATTGAGATTAGATGTTAGAACTAGAGTAAACGCACTAGAGTCGATTGGTGTACAAATATCAAGAGCATTGAAGGATCAGTGGAAACGTTCATTGCTGTCTGGAATAATTCCCAATAAGACGTTCATGGCGGAGCAGTCGGGGCAGGCAGGATTGTGTTATGTATCTCTGGATGTACCCGGAGAACGATGTCCCTGATGCGTCTACCCACGCTCTCACTTTCTCGCTTCATGCTCGAAATCAGCTCCCCCATTCTCGTCCTGATACCAGATGCCACCATGTTGCTTCGATCTAAGTCCATCCGACCCCGTTCCCCCATTCCCCCTGGTCCAGAATCTCCAAAGCGCACGCCTGATGGAGGTCTAACTTGGACAAAATGGTGTTTGCGAGCGAGGGTCTGTATTCATGTACTCTCAGACATCACGAATCCGGAATGCGCATCATCCAATGCACCAGCAACTCCCTCGCGGCCATGGCGTCCTCGTAGCTATCGTGGCCTTTTTGCGGACGGTGGCTCCGGGTCCGACTCTGGCTCTGGATTTGGCCTTGGGTTTGGGTTTGGGTTTGGCCACCGACCACTCCCGGCCGATCAAAGCTCAGGAGACGAGGACGCTTGACCTGCACGGCGATGCCCAGTCTCAGCCTACACAGGTTCTGCAGGCTGCGACCGCCCTCGGTCTTGACGCCCGTGTACCCCTCGAGGATGTGGGTGTCGATGACGAGCGGGTGGATCCAGCGCAGGGCCGTGAAGTCGTTGCAGCCGCCGTGCACGACGACGATGGTGTCGGGTCCGACTCTTCGGTGGTCTCCTCCTCCTCGGAAGAGGGCGTCGCGCGCGCGGTCGCGGCCACCCAGGATCGCCGTGCGCGTTCGCACGGCCTCGCGCATGTCCGCCGCGGTCACGCCAGAGAAGCGCGTGTTGTAGTGCGTCATGGCCACGGCGGGCGCGACGAGCTTGTCGATCAGCACGGCGCCGCTGAAGAAGTCTACCGCCGTCAACCGGATCAGCTCTGGGTGCCCTGTCGCGGCGACGCCCGTTTCGCAGTCGAGAGCGATCGCTTCTAGATGGCGAGGTTGGTTTGTTCTTTCTTGTTGTTGTTGTTGTCCTCGACCTTGCTTGTGGCCACGTCTTCGAGGTCCGCTAAGAGGAGAGCCATGGGTTCCATTTGCGCTGGCGCTGGCGCTGGCGTTGATGGCTGGATTCAGTTGCGCAGGATTCGGCGGTGTTGTATAGAACTGCCAGGACTTGTGGAGCAGGGGATCGTCTGGTTCGGGGAGAGTATGTTCAAGAGCTTCAATGCACCCCCCGGTTGTGACGTGTTGGCCGCAACATGTAAAAGCCTAAAAAACAAAGATTGTTGGTCAGAAGACATATGATGATATATGGATATGAGATAATTGGGTCGGTCTCGAGTTGTACCTTGTTCCTGACCACACCCGTGTGATATGTGCATGATGGGGGAGGGGATTTCTTCTTGGGTTTCGCCGTGGATATGTTCGGAGTCTCGTCCTCGTTTTCGTCCATGGCTTCTTCTTCTTCTTCTTCCTTGGTGTCGACATTGGCGGTTAGAGTCAGATCCAGATCCGTCTGTGTCTGTGTCTTCTTGTCCCCATTCACGACACCTGTGCTGGCTTTCGACTTTTGACGCTGTGGTTGACGACGTGGTGCTCGTTCTGTCCCAAGTTTCTCAAAGTCAGCCTATGCCCTCGAGACGTCCCGTCCTGCCTTTGGGACCCCCTTTGCGCGGCTCAAAAAGAACCTCCGCGTCTCCAATCTCCGACTTCTCAGACTCACTTCCACACCGCATGCATCTCGCCTTGGCCTCGATCTCAGCCGCACTGAGCGGTTTGGTCACGTAGCCCTCTCTTTCCAGCTCTTTCTGGCTGTGGCACAGTAGTCGGAGCTTCTCAAGGCAGGGCAGCGAGGGTGTGATCCGGGACCAAGCGATTTCGGAGGTGTTTGGCACTTTGGCCTCGTTCGCGGGCCATGGAGGAGGAGGAGGAGGAGCTGTCGGCGCAGTAGCCATGGGAAGCGTGGGCAAGGCTGATAAGTTCGCTTGACTTCTTTCTTTCTCTCTGAGTGACGAGGCTGGAGTATGGTGAGGGAGGAGGAAGAAGAATCAGATACAGAAGACGAAGCACAAGATCCGCTCACCTACAACTCACTCACTCACCCGCTCAGGATATGGAAAGGCGCGATCTGTTCCTCAGTTGTTATGTCTATATTTCTAACAACAGACTGGCGGTTGAAGAGAGAGGGGGGGGGAAAGGACACGACGATAAAACCACCAGTGCCAGCCAAGTGTCTGTGAGAGTGACAGTCTCAGCCCAAGAATGCTCTCTTCACTTCAACAGCAGTGAATAAGGCTGAGAAGCGACGAAGGTGGTAAGGCAGCATCAAGGTTGCCTTTTTCCACCCCCACTTGTTATCCTGCTGATGATGTGTCCATCTGCTGGGCTGGGGAGGGCATGTTCGAGTCCTGAATGGCTGTTGTCTGTTCGAGTCAATAGGGCAAGACGAATCAGGGCCTGGTCCGTGGTTACACAGTTTGGCAAAGTTGCAGTAGCCTCGATCCGGGACAAAATACTTATCACATGTGGGTTAATAGAGGAACATGGCGGCTGAAAGAAGTTGGTTAGAGTGTCTATCATGAGGCTGCTAGACAACGCCTCGCATTGACACGTTGGGTTTTGTCGTGAACTGTATTTGAATGCCTTTTTCTCATATAGCGTGTCATACAGCCTCGAAATATTACGGCATATCGTGTCCTTCTTCGTCAGTGTCAATGGGTTGTTGATGTACAACACGACGGCGTCACCCTGTCAAATCGATAATGTCCCTGCAGAGAATCAGGGAAACATCCTGCATCATCACTTGGGTCATTCTTCCCGTTATCCGTCAGCCATGTCCCGCTCACAACGCTTTGTTCCGATATTCATTTCAGCCCGTTCTTAGCCTTGAAAGCAGCAAGCAAGCCAGCCGTCGATGAGTCGTGGTCAGCTCCAGCGCCCTCAGTCTCAAGTTCCTTCTGGATCTTCTTTGCCAGGACCTTGCCCAACTCGACACCCCACTGGTCAAAGCTGTTAATGTTCCAGATCGCGCCCTCGGTGAAAACCATGTGCTCGTAGTAAGCAATCAAGGCACCGAGAGTACCAGGAGTGATCATCTCAGCGAGGATATTGGTAGTTGGACGGTTGCCAAGGAAGGTCTTGTGCGAAACCAACTCATCGGGAGCACCTTCGGCCTTGACCTGGTCGGGTGTCTTGCCAATCATCAAAGCCTCAGCCTGGGCCAGGAAGTTCGACGCCAGCATTCGCTGGTGGAGGCCTCCTTCCACTGGGTTGTGGGACCGGGCAGCAATGATGAAATCGGTGGGAATGAGTTTGGTGCCCTGGTGCAAAAGCTGGAAGAAGGAGTGCTGCGCATTCGTGGCTGGTTCGCCGAAAAAGATGGAGCCGGTTGTATACTTGACGTAGTCGCCACTCCGGGTGACAGCCTTGCCATTGGACTCCATGGTCAATTGTTGCAAATAGGCCGGGAAACGGTGCATGTACTGGTCAAACGGCGCGACCAGATGAGTCTGAGAGCCGAAGAAGTCGGAGTACCACACACTCAGGAGACCTGCAATCACAGGGATGTTTTCGTGCAGAGGCGCAGTCTTGAAATGCTGGTCCATGGCATGGGCGCCAGCGAGGAATTGGTGGAAGTTGTCGTAGCCAATGTAGATGCAGACGGACAGACCAATAGCAGACCAAACAGAGTATCTGCCACCAACCCAGCTCTCGAAACCGAACATGTTCTTGGTATCGATGCCGAATTTGCTGACCTCTTCAGCGTTGGTGGAGAGCGCCACGAAATGCTTAGCGATGTCGGACTCTTTTGCACTTTGCAAGAACCATTTCTTGGCTGTGTTGGCGTTGGTAGTGGTCTCCGCCGTCGTAAAGGTCTTGGAGGCGATGAGGAAAAGCGTGGTCTCAGGATCCGAGTCCCTGAGGGCCTCAGCAATGTGGGTGCCGTCGATATTGGAAACGAAGTGGAGTTTCATGTTCCTGTCTCCGTACGGTTTCAGGGCCTCTGAGACCATGACGGGGCCACTGGGAAAATGTCAATTCCGCACAGACAACCTGCCAGAGGGTGGACTAGAGACTTACAGATCAGAGCCACCAATACCGATATTGATGATGGTAGTGAGCTTCTTCCCGGTGTACCCAGTCCATGAGCCGCTGCGGATCTGCTCTGAAAACTCCTTCATATGGTCCAAGACAGAATTTGTCTCCTCGACGACGCTTTTTCCGTCCACTGCCATAGGCTGGTTGGAAACGTTTCGGAGGGCGACATGGTAAACAGCTCGCTTCTCGGTGAAGTTGATTTTCTCGCCAGCAAACATCTGGTCTCGCAATTCTTCAAGTTTGGCCTCCTTTGCAAGTTTTACAAGAAGATCCAGAGTCTCTTCGGTCAAGAAGTTCTTGGAGAAGTCAAAGAGCAACTCAGAATTGTCTGCGGAGTTCTTGAAGACTCGCTTAAACTTCTCGAAGCGTTGAGGATCTTTCTCAAATTGTTCCTTGAGGACGATGTTGCGGCCCACCGCATTGTGGTGGTCAACCAGCGCTTGCCATGCGGAGAGGTCGGTAGCCTGCGCGAAACCAGGCATTTTGGTAGTATAGGAGGAGAGTTGAGGGATTGCTTCTGTAGAGGGCTACTGTAAAGAGTCAGTCAATTGGCCCTGGAGCTGCGGGATGGTGAAAGAGAGCAATGACAAGAGCTTTGCTCTGATGCCAAAAAAAAAAAACCAAAGCAGAAGGTGAGCG